CTTCCTGGCTGGGTCTTGGGAGCGGCCAAGTCGGGATCAGAATCCCAACGATTTGTGGAGTAGGATGGGGGGTGGGGGCATTCAGCAACAGTTATTCCACTTCTCCACGCTCGCTGGACCCTTCTGGGAGAGGCTGGGATGCGCCGGGGAGCAGCAAAAGCTGCTCGGTCGGAGCAGTTAGATTTTGTCTGGCTGCTCTGTTCTAACCCCTCTGTCTGACTTCATCCTATTTCAGCTCCACTGGCCCACAGCATAGGTTACCAAAGGTCACGTTCAAAGCTGCTGATCCTGATATTACAGGGCCGCGTGCCTGTGCCTTGCGAACACAGGAATCGAGGGAAGGGGCGCTTACAGCCCAGGACTTGCTGGTTTGTTTTGCTTCTCTCGCCGGCCATCCTGTTTATTTTAGGGCCTCGGGGAAGGGCATTCAGAATCAGCGGTGTAACCACACAAGGGACAAATTTCCTCCAGTCTGTAAGCTGGCTCGGATCCAACTAGCTATAGGCTCTCTCCCTCCCAACTCAGGCATTTCTCACTCACACGGAGTGGATGGGAGTCAGTGGTACATGGCGCAAGACGGCAGAATCAGGCCCCAATTTAGGCATGAATATCATCATTACTATTGTGCATTTGTAGCAGTCCCCTCTGCTGGCCAGCAGCGGCACTGCTCAACTGTGTGTCATAGGCCACCTAGCGCTAACAGCTGATGGAGATTCTCCTTTAACTCTCTCTAAATTCCAGGTTTGTATGGCACCTGCCACAATGACAGCTAAGTGCTAGATGTCTGTGCTTCCGGAGCAGAAGGACTCGAGTGCTAGTCCTGCTGCCATGAAGTTTTGAATGGCCAAACGTGTAGCATAGGAACAATTGTGAACCCCTAGGTGGCCACTGATTTGTTGCACTATATGGACCAGATCCTCAGCTGGGTAACTGATGCAGCACCCTTTCCTTTAGTGGAGCTGAATGTTGATAAATGCAAAGTAATGCACATTGGAAAACATAACCCCAACTATACATATAAAATGATGGGGTCTGAATTAGCTGTTACCACTCAAGAAAGAGATCTTGGAGTCATTGTGGATAGTTCTCTGAAAACATCCACTCAATGGGCAGTGGCAGTCAAAAAACCAAACAGAATCTTGGGAATCATTAAGAAAGGGATAGATAATAAGACAAAAAATATCCTATTGCCTCTATATAAATCCATGGTATGCCCACATCTTGAATACTGCATGTTGATGTGATCGCCCCATCTCAAAAAAGATATATTGGAATTGGAAAAGGTTCAGAAAAGAGCAACAAAAATGATTAGGGGTATGGGACGGCTTCCATATGAGGAGAGATTAATAAGATAGTCATCTCTTTTCCAAGCTGAAAAGTCCTAAGGGGGGATAGGATAGATGTCTATAAAATCATGACTGCTGTGGAGAAAGTAAATAAGGAAGTGTTATTTACTCCTTCTCATAACAATAGAACTAGGGTCACCAAAGGCAGCAGGTTTAAAACAAACAAAAGGAAGTATTTCTTCACACAACGCACAGTCAACCTGTGGAACTCCTTGCCAGAGGATGTTGTGAAGGCCAAGACTATAACAGAGTTTAAAAAAGAACTAGATAACTTCATGGAGGATAGGTCCATCAATGGCTATTAGCCACAATGGGCCGGGTCATAGGCGCCGACTTCTTCTGGCACCGGTGAGTGCTCAACCCCACTTTGCCCCCAGCCCCGCCCCGACTCCATCCCTATCCCGCCCCCTCCCGCCCCCATTCCAACCCCCTTCCCCAAATCCCCGTCCCGGCCCCACCTCTTCCCCACCTCCTCCCTGAGCGCACCACATTCCCGCTCCTCCCTCCTCCCTCCTGGAGCTTGCTACAGCTGTTTGGCGGCGGCAAGTGCTGGAAGGTAGACGGAGGAGCAGGAACGTGGCGCACTCAGGGAAGGAGGCGGAGGAGGTGAGGCGGGGCAGGGCGGGGAGCTTGGCTGCCAGTGGGTGCAGAGCCCCGGAGCACCCACGAAGTCAGCGCCTATGGACCGGGATGGTGTCTCTAGCCTCTGTTTGCTAGAAGCTTGGAATGGGCAACAAGGGACTGATCACTTAAGGATTACCTGTTCTGTTCAGTCCCTCTGGGGCACCTGGCATTGGCCACTGTCGGAAGACAGGATACTGGGCTAGATGGACCTTTGGTCTGACCCAGTATGGCCGTTCCGATGGTCTTATGAGCTATACTGATTTACACCAGCTCAGGATCCGCTGCTATATGTTCGATAAACCGTCCCACGCTGCATGGAGGGAGAAGGCACCCTCCATATCAGCAGCAGGATACCAACAGCAAAGCAGTTGCATTTATTGTACTGGCAGTGATTTTCTCACAGTGCCAATGGCGTTCACTGATTAACAGCGAAAGAAATGGGTAGATCCCCTGCCCCCAGGAGCTTACAGTATAAGTCAGACAGAGCACGGCTAGGGATTTGCCATGAAATGCGTCTCCATAGCTGACATAAGCCATCATCCCTTACCTCATGGCTAATTGCTTTCAACGGAGAGCAGGCCAGCCCCTGCGCCATACAATATTTCAGAGGCACAAAGGGAAAGCAGCCAAGTGGCTGATATAGCTTATTGCCCACAAGTTCAGTCACCGACAACTTGCTGCATCAGTGCCGGGCTTCAGGAAACCGCTGATTGTGTTTACATGGCTCTTCCAGGGATCTTTTGCAAAGCAGCATAGAAATTAGAGACTGGCTCTTCTCGTCCATCCCACTGGGCCAATGCAACATTGTGTCCGACAGTTAATTCCCCAGGGCTTTGTCCAACCTAGTTTTCAATGTCCAAAACTCATGGGTCTTCAACCACTCCCTTGGGAGGCTGTTTTACAGGCTAAGACATCTCATGCCAGGAGAGCGTTTTCCTGCTATTCAGGCTTTCCCTGTGCTCTCCAGTCTGTCTGTCTGTCTGTAGCCATCTGTTGTCGCTTGTCTTACACTTAGATTGCAAACTCCTTGGGGCAGGAACAGTCTTTCTGTTCAGCATCTTGGACTATGGGGTCCCAGGCCATAACTATGGTTGCTAGGGACAATCACAATTCAAATAATACATTTTTCCTTTTCTTAATTTCCAATTCTATCCCCTTGGTGCACACTAAATAACTCCTTGCTGCGCTCTATGTCTATAACACACACACACACACACACACACACACCCCGGATCTCAACACCATGGCCCTGACATTGCTGTAGGGGGTTTCATCTGGGATCCAAACTTGGATCCGGATTGTGTGGCTGGTCTCCAATCTCTAAGATCAAACCAGTCCTGAACTTTGGGTGGTTAAAACACCAGGTGTGACTGGAAACTGCAGCTTGTTTAATCACAGCCTATCTTACTGGGATGCTTAGCTAAGCTCTATCCATCTCCTGGAACGTTTTTTGCTCTTCCCTCAGAAATCAATCCCTTCGGGCCCTCAGCAACGTTGACTGGAGCTCTTGTCACTCCCTCCTCCTGTTTGTCTACATCTTGCTGGTATTTGGGTGGCCAGAACTGAAAGCCAGATTCCAAGCACAGTCTCACCAGAGCTGCATAGCAGAGAGGGACTAGCTCCTCCCTGCACTAGGTTGCAGGAACCACCTGATGGTAATGTCCATGTTGATGGCTAATTTTTTTGCTCCTTTACTAGCCACAACCTCCCTTGGAAGCCTGTTCCAGAGCTTAACAACCCTCATAGTTAAAAAGGTTTTTTTTTTAAGATCTAACCTAAACCTCCCTTGCTACAGATTCAGCCTATTATGTCTTATCCTACCCTCAGTGAACATGGAGAACAATTGGTCAGCATCCTCTTTATAACAGCCCTTAACATATGTGAAGACTGTTATAGAATCATAGATTATCAGGGTTGGAGGAGACCTCAGGAGATCATCTAGTCCAACCCCCTGCTCAAAACAGGACCAATCTCCAGACAGATTTTTACCCCAGTTCCCTAAACGGCCCCCTCAAGAATTAAACTCACAACCCCGGGTTTAGCAGGCCAACGGTCAAACCACTGAGCTATCCCTCCCACCAGGCTTGCCAGCATTCTTCTTTTCTCAAGACTAAACATGCCCCGTTTTCCAAACCTTTTCTCATTTGTGTTGCTCTCCTTGGACCTCTCTCCAATTTCTTAAAGTGTGAGGGGTTTGAGTGCCTGTGTTCAGTCTAAGTAATACGTACTTCTGGAGGGCTCACTTGTTGCACCATAAAGGTTCACTCCTTTGATTTCATCCTTTCCTTGTTATACAAACGTAGCTTTACTTGCTGTGACGCCTTGCAGAAGTGGCTCAGCTGGGCTCTCCGTTGTAGCGGCACCCACAAGTTCCGTGGCTTTGCTACTCCTGGAGCAGCTTGCAGAGACTGGTGAACGGGCGAGGATTAGATGGTAAGAGCAGAGAAAAGAGCCTCCTGCCAGGAGTAACCTTTAAAGCTGCCCTGCCTGGAGGAACATCTCCTCTTTGCAAAGGTACAAAATGTACCGCACAAAGAACTGAGTTGGGGGGGAGGGCTGGATGCTTCGTAACACACCCGTGTGCTCCACATGTGCAGGAGCTGAGGGCTCTCAGGCCAGACCAAAGCACCTTGGTAAGAGGTCTCTTTTGAGATGACTGTTCTGAACAGAGGTGGGCGAGGACCTCACCAATACTTCCAACAATATTTGGTCCTGTCCATTGTGATCATGTCCCTTCCACTTCCTGCCAATGTTCGAGGCACTGGCAGGACTGGTCCTGGAAACAAGAGTCAATACTGGAGCAATAATCCAGCAAACAATCATAGAATGCCAGGGTTGGAAGGGACCTCAGGAGGTCATCTAGTCCAACCCCCTGCTCAAAGCAGGGCCAATCCCGAGACAGATTTTTACCCCAGTTCCCTAAATGGCTCCCTCAAGGATTGAACTCACAACCCTGGGTTTAGCAGGCCAATGCTCAAACCACTGAGCTATCCCTCCCCCTATAAAAAAAAACAAAAAACTTCTCCATTATTCCCACACTGGGAATTGAACCCAGGCTACCTGAGTGAAAACCAGGAAGCCTAACCACTAGACCATATGGGACTAGCATTTTGAAGGGACCTTGAAAGGTCATTGAATCCAGCCCCCTGCCTTCACTAGCAGGACCAAGTACTGATTTTGCCTCAGATCCCTAAGTGGCCCCCCTCAAGGATTGAACTCACAACCCTGGATTTAGCAGGCCAGTGCTCAAACCACTGAGCTATCCCTCCCCCAATAGAGCCCACCCAAGAGAGATTATCAGGAGAATATACTGGCAACCCCCCTGCTGCATCCCTGAGTCTTATAAGAAAGAGCAGCCATGACAGGTCGCAGGGGTGGGATTCACAAAGGTACTCTAAGCACCTAACTCCCATTGATCTCCGAGGCCTCTCCACCCAGTGATGGCAGCGGAAATGCTTGACCTTTATGTGGTGGGGCTGGAGCAACAGGAAAGAGGACGCAGGAAGAATTTATGAGAGACGCAGAAGCCTCCTGAGGGGGCGTGACACTCTGGTGCTATAGCTGCTGTGCGTTCTGTTCTTATAGCACAGGTAAGGATCCTGACTGGTAGAGACTTGAGCAAGGATTAGCCCCTTTAAACTGAGTCTGTGCCCCAAAAGTTCTCTCTCCTGCACCTACCACTGTAGCATGCAAATATCAGAATCTGTTACCCACAGGATGTATCGTATCCTAGATACACTATGAGAAGCTCCGGTGGCCTCTTCTCCTTCCCGAGTAGATGACTTGCTTTAGAGCCAACAGGGCATGTAACCTCCAGTAGCAAAACTAGATCCCTGGCTGGCACTGGAATCTCCAGCCACCATGGGGTTAACACATAGACCTTTCTATGGTGGCTTCCTCATGAGTTGGGCACTGTTGGAATAAGCCCATTGGCACAGGCAGAAATTGGTTGTCGATGCTGTCACACGTGTCTCATGAACCTTAACATGCATGACAGGCAGTGACCGGTGTAACACGGAGACCGATGTACCAGAGACTTCACGGCAGCAGAAATTTCCTGATAGCCTTGAAAATACCCTGATCCAAGTTATGCTTATGCAAGCAAGCGTCTTATCTGGGTAAGCAGAGCAAGGCCAATGCTATCTGGACTTTCTGCACAGCTCCTGCTTGTCTGGTAAACAGGGGAGGCAGCGTGCTCATATGTTATGGCTAATGGCTAGTATTAGCTTTGGGTAACACATACAAGCGAGATTTTTTTTTTTCGGGACAGCTCCCTCCCTCCCTCCCTCCACTGGTGTCCCAAGCTGGAGACCATGGTCCTATTTAGCCACAGAACAGGTAACAGGGGCAAGTTCCCCGCCATCCCCACATCACCTTCTGCCAGGGTGCTTCAAACCTGCATGGAGAGTTGGTGTCTATTGGGGAGTTTGGTCTCTGGGCCCGTTTAGGCTTCTATGCAAGAGGCCAACTCCTCAGCTGGTGAAAACTGGCTTAGCTTCATTAACTTCAATGGTGCTACGCTGATTTACACCAGCTGACAATCTGGCCCAAGGAGTTTATCACTTGAGGGCAGATTTTGCCCTCCATTACCTCAGAGTAAATCCACAGCAGCTCCCCTGAGCTTAATGGAGGTAACAAAGAGCAGTTTAGCCCTTGGGATGGTGGTTTCTGCAGTGCACCAATGTTCCCTCCCCAAGGGGGTCCACAGCCTCTGGATGAGAACTGCATTGATTAAAGAAAACAAGGAAACTATGCCTGGATTGTAAACTCCACCTGGAATGCTGTGGCCCGTGACCATGAATAAATGAGCAAGGTTCAGGGTTAGCTTTGGAAGAGCATTCCAAAGTTTGGATACTTATCCAACCAGGAGGAACCCCCTTTCTCATGGCCCAGAGCCACCCGGGCATCCCCTACCGGGCTGTGGACCCTCATGGAGCGGGAACACTGGGATTTCCTCTTTTTCACGACTTCTGGGTTTTTACTAGGCTGACTCACCATCTCCTCCCCCATCCCCTCCTCAGCTTCAGGAGCAGACCCCCTTTAGACCCCCTCCTTCTGGCTTCTTCCAAAGGTGACTGACTGGCCTGCTCCTTCCTTGCATTGGTTTGGGGGCTGGCTATGAGACCTAGTGGCCCAGAGTTCTTCAGCAGAAACTGGGTCCCAGATCCTCAGCTCGTGTGAATCCATGTAGCTCCACTGACACAGCTCTGTTGACTTCAGTTTACCCCGGTTGAGGATCTTTGAATGGCCCAGTGCCCTGTGGGGCTCTGATTTTAAGGGTTTTGTCCTGCAGCAGTGCACTCTGGGAAGTCTTATCCAGTGAGTTTCTGGACGCTGTTGCTACAGTCGTAAGGTTGGGATCAGGGGCTGGACAAGTCACCTGCCTCTCAGGAGAGTTGGAGAAGGAAGTAGGCCTGTCAACTGGCTCCTCAACAAGCAAACAAAAATTCACGGAGAACAGCTCGCTAACCCTCTTTAGAAGGGGAATTTTGGGAGCTAGTCCCTGCCAACCCACCCCATGAAAACAGAAAGTGGGGAGAGAAGCAATCACCCAATTGTTTCCCCCACCCACAGGAGCAGGCTAGTAGGACACCAAGGATCTTAGAAAACATGATACAAACCACCATGCACAATCTTCTGCTGGGATGTTTTGCAGGAGACCCAGCCCACCCCAGCCAAGCAGACAGGTTGCTGCTTCCTCTGCTTCTGAGTGGGGACCTTCCTGCTACCCCACAGGGAGGATCCCCCGCCCCTCATGCTGCTGGCCCTACCACCACCACCACTCCAAGTGGGGGGGAAGGCCGCAATGCAGGAGTGAAGCCCCAGGCGGATCTGTGTTGCAGTGTGCCTAGGACCCTGGATTGCTTTAATCCAGGACTGTGGATGTGGTGTGTTCTGGAGCGGGGGTGGAGCAGGGGTTTATAAAATGCAGAACCCTCCAAAAGTTCAGAGATTTAGACTACAACCAAAGCATCAACATGTTGCCATTTGGCCCGTCTCAAAAAGCGAGGTTAGAGCTGCTCTAAACCAGCCCAGTTAGGAGGGGCGGAGGCTGAAGCCTGACTTGGACTGACCCATTCTGCAAAGCCTATTTATGGGGTGCACCAGCTCGTAGGTATAGCAGGGGCCTGTGCTGCGTCAGCCAAAGGGTTAATTAACAGAGATGAGCCCGAACCAGCTGGGTCCAAACCCTTCTGGTCTGTGGAGACATTCATAGCCACATCCAACCTTTGCAACTGGCTCCTGTCTGCCCAAAGGCCCAACCCGATGCCCCCACATTGTGGGGAAGCTGGAACCAGAACTTGGCTGCTCAGGCCTCTCTGTAACAGCACAGCTAAGGACTTGAACCTCTCCCGTTCAAAGTAACAGGAGGTTTGCCAACCCACGTCAAAGGGAACAGAACGAAGCCCTAGATGGGGAGGGATCTCCTCAGTGAAACTAGGGTGACCAGATGTCCCGATTTTATGGGGACAGTCCCGATTTTTGGGTCTTTTTCTTATATAGGCTCCTATTGTCTCCCCACCCCCTGTCCCGATTTTTCACACTTGCTGTCTGGTCACCCTAAGTGAAACAAAGTATTCTTTGGTTACTGTTCTGCTGAGCCAGGAAAAGCCCTTGCAGGGGAGTTAACCAACAACTCTCTCCCGCGGTGTTCCTGCTATCTTTTGTTTTGGCTGATGGTCTCCAAAGAAAACTGCGTGACCATCCTCGGTCTTCTTTTAGCACAGAAAGAGAAAAGAGGGCTTGAGTACAAAAACGTCAGCCACCTTTGAACACATGCTCGATGGCAACTATTCATCCATTTCACATTCAAACCTGCAGCGCATGGGGTGCGACTGGTCTGAGTGACACCTCTTTAAAGAGGCTGGGGCCATTAAGCCGTGAGTCCTAGTTATTCAACTGAGAAATAAACCCAATAGGTCTGACAGTCTCTTAAACCCAGAGTCGGCATGTACTGTACCCCACTAGGAAAGCTGCATGACTGAACTTTCTTCCTGCTCTCCCAGTGCATAGGGATGTCCATCCAGACTGATATTTTTAGGGGCAGGGGCTGTGTATTTTTATCTCATACAGCACCAAGCACACCAGTGGCAGTCCCCTAATAGCAAGACCACTTCTGTTTGTTTTACAGGGAGTTTCTATTGCACTTTAAGCTGAATAAAAGTGGGCCCATTTACAATGCTGCTGTGCATCAGTAGCTTCCATCAACTCCACTGGACGTTGCCGCTGTTTAAAAGGCCTTAGACACCGAAGTAGAAGTGGTCTGATTTTTAAGATCTGTCTAGATCTGCCTAACTTTAGACGCCCACCTTTGAAAGTTCTGAGCAGCGTGGGTGCTAAGGATTCCACAGTAGTTTTCCACACGGGCTGGATTTGCCCCCTGGCTGTGTCCACTACCCCCACCATTCTGCAGTATGCTGGTTGCCTGCCACTCTCCAACAAGTGACTGTGACTCAGGGCACGTCTACACAGCAAAGAAAACGCTGCACTTGGCCCTTGCCAGCTGACTTGGGCTTACGGGGCTTGGACTGCAGGGCTGTTTCATTTCTGTGTAGACTTCTGGGCTTGGGAGACCCTTCCATCTCATAGGGTCCCACAACTACACAGCAATGAAACAGCCTCACAGCCCGAGTTGGCTGGCATGGGCCAGCCACGGGTTTTTCTTTGTTGTATAGACATACCCCTCAGTGACAATCGCCACCATAGCTTGCATGGACAACACCTCTGTGCCGGTGTACAACCTCGCTAACCACAATGGGGCGCTGTACGGGTCGCCCCATGTGCAGCTCACACTTTGTAAGGCACGGAGTTGATCTGTACAGTAAGTCAAACATTATTTGTATTCAAGGGGTGCTTGTCGGTGCATTAGGAACAGCAGGGAAACCATGAATGAGAAGAATACCGTTGCCAAATGAAGGATCACGCCCAGTGTCTATTTCAACAAGGTATTTTATTGGTCCAGCAGCTGCAAAATATACAAATTTCTGAAAGGCATACCCTGTTCTTAAACTGGCACAGCTTTCATCTCAGGCAATTATTCCAGACATATATACAGAATACAAGTAACATATCGTAAGTCAAAATAAAATAAACCCCAAAAG